TGTCAGCTCCTATCTTTCGCTCAGACATCACCTCCTCCGAGAAGCGTTCCAGGATCCTTCCCAGGCCCAATTAATCTCCAGACCTTCATGCATCCGTGACAGCCCTTCTGGGAATGTCCGCCCCACGCCATCAGCCTCTCTGGGCCGGTTACTCATGTGCGTGTGCTGTCCCCATCTCCTCCCCAGCATCTCATCATGCCTGAGACATTTCAGGGTCAGGGTTTGGATTTTTTGTTTTGTTTGTTTTTTTCCCCCTTGAGTCAAAGAACAGTATGTAGACGAGGGAGAATTGTGAAGGGAAAGGGTACGTGTTGGGGAATGGGTAGAAGATGGTTTCTCTCAGCTCCTAAAAGGGGGGCAGGGCTAACTGGGCTTTTGGGGAGCTCCAACTGGGCTTTTGGGGAGCTCCAAGAACAACCCACCCGGGCCAGGACGCACCACGTGGCAGCGTCAGGAAGGGCCCGTGGGATCGCATGGTTCCACACTCTTGTCCTTCCTTTAGCCTCCATCCGCTTCAGCAGCATCCCAACACGTACTCCTTGGCATCTCTGTCTACACAGTCAGGAGGCAGGAGGGGGTGAGGGTGGCCGCCTCCCAGCGCCTGTAAGAATAGACTCCGAGAGGTGGGAGGTGGACACGAGGCCACGCAGCGTGGAGGGCGGCCATGGTGTGACACCTGCTGGGCCCCATAGCGTCCCTGTCTGTCCAGCAGGAGGAAGGGGGACCCCGAAGGAGGGTGTGGGGAAGCTGGAGCTGAAGAAGCACCTCTCTGGTGGACACAGGTTATTTTATTTATTTACGTTCCGTTCATCACCATCTGAGGATGTTTCTCCCATTGATGTTTATTTTTTTTATTATTTTTTAAAATATAATTTTAAAAAATTTTGTACAGAGAGGAAGGGAGAGAGATAGAGAGTAAGAAACATCGATGAGAGAGAGACATCGATCAGCTGCCTCTTGCACACCCCCTACTCGGGATATGCCCGCAACCAAGGTACATGCCCTTGACCAGAATCGAACCAAGGACCCTTCAGTCCCCAAGCCGACGCTCTATCCATTGAGCCAAACCGGTCTCGGCGTCTCCCATTGATTTTTAGAGAGAATGGGAAGGAGGGGGGGAGAGGGAGAGAGAGAGACATCAATGTGAGAGAGACACATTGACTGACTGCCTCCCATACACACCGCAATTGGGGGCAGGGACTGAACCTGCAATCCAGGTACCTTTGACCAGGAATTGAACCCATGACCCTTCTGTGCGTGAGATGATGCTCTAACCATTGAGAAACACTAGCCTGGGCTGGACTCTGGGTTTTTTTAAAACTTCCCTGGAGTATGGAGGGAGCTTCCCCCCACAGCCTGCCCATTCCCAGTTGGAAGCCCACCCTCCTCAACTCACTCTCTCTCTCTCTCTCTCTCTCTCTCGACCAGTGTCCTCTCCACATTGGAGGGGCTTGCTGGTCTGAAAGTGTCCGTTGGGGTGGGTTAGCCTCTGGGCAGCTGTGGCTTGCCTCTGGCCACTTGTCTCTGGAGCCTTTCTCAGCGCCTGGACTCTCTCCCATTACCGCCCAATCCCCTTACTTTCCCGAGCAGCTGGAGGCCAGAGAGGGAGAGGGCTTTTCCCGGGTCGCACAGCAAGTCAGATCCGTTCCGTGGACTCTCTGGCCTCTGCCCGCTGCCCTGTCTGATGCCGAGGCGCCTCTGGAGGGCAGTGCCCGGGAGGTGGGGGTTAGGTCTTAGCGGGGCCTGCAGTTAGCGGGTGCGAATATATGTCTCCTGGTTGCGTAAATGAGCACGGGATGTGTGCTCCTCTCGTGGGGAGGGCCGCTCTCTCCAGACAAGCTGATTGTACATGATCTGCAGCACTTTGAGTCCCTGCCCAGTGCCCCCCAGTGCCAGCCCCCACTGACAGGCAGAGACCATTTCATGCCCTGACACCTCGGTCAGGAAAACCGCTAGAGCAGGAGGACTTGGTGGCATGTGACTGCAGTCCTTCATCATGGAGGCACTAAAAGGTTAAGTCGCATGAACAGTGGCTGGTGCCCTGGGGCGCTAGGCACATGCTGGTGTTGGGGACACAGAGGTACCACACAGTCTGCCCTGGAGGAGCAGGGAAGGGAATGACAAGTGCACTGGTAGCTATGGTAACAGGGTGGTGGAGGCAGCATCCAGGAGGTGTGCAGGACCTGAGCTGGACCTTGACATGCTGCTCAGACTTAGACCCGTCTTCGCCATCTTCACTGCCGTTCAGTCAGCACACACTCTGGACCCAGCATGTGCAGGGCTCTGTGCTCAGCAGTGAGGACAGGAGCCACGTGCCTCCTGCCAAGGCTGGGCCAGGCACCCCTCTGTGCCCCTGGAGGCCCCCCCCCCCCCAGGGCTTCCCTTGGCACAGTCCTCCTCTCCCTGCCTTGTAATTTCCTGGTTTGGGGTCTGCTTTGCTTCCTTCTCTGCTCCGTGAGCCCCTCAGGCCAGGGACCAGCAGCCGCGTCTCTGCTTTGTCTCCAGCGGCAGCCCTGAGCCACCTGGCACGTCGGCCTTGCTTCCATTTTGTGGAAAATCGAACCTAGCGAGGGCAGGGTTCTACATGGCTGCGGCCTCTCCATCCTCCCCTGCTCAGGAGCCTCTGGACTCGATTCCCCTCCCCCACCATCCCCCAGATTCCGGCCAAGTCCTGAAAGCTGGGGCGGCGGTGGGAGGAGGAAGGTGAGACAGGATGGCTTAGCAGAGGGTGAGAAAGCCTCCCCGCTGCCTGGCCACGGCACCATGGGAATGGTTCTGGCAGGAGCTGCCTGCTGGGCTGAGATCACCATGGAGACCCGGCTTGGAGAGGGTCACTGGCAGTGGCTAAGGGCTGGAGGGGGTGGGGGTGACAGGGATTTGTGAGGAGGCTCCCAGCCTGCCCTGGGGCCCTTCGGGGGAGCAGGAGAGGCTGGGGTTTGTTAGAATCCACTCGCTAAGGGGTTTGGAGCAGCCCATTCTAAGTCTCCCCCTCTTTTGTCTCCCCAACACGTTATCCCATCACCCCAACAGGAGGTTCCTTAGCTCCGCAGCTGTTTTCAAACCGCAGAGAACTGTCCTGCAGATCGGTGCCTCCAGCCCTTCAGCTGCACCTTTCCCCCACATCTCCCAGCCCTGCTAATGGCCACCCTGCTTATCTCTGCAGCTGCTCCTGTTTATCCCCTGCCTGTGGCGGCCTGGCAGCCATCCACCGCACCCCTTGCCCCAAGAGCCGCTGTTCCACCAATCACCCCCCCCCCCAGTCGCAATATAGCTGTCACCCTACCTGGCACACCTCTTACCCCTGCGGCTAATGTTCCATCCTCCCCTCCCCTGCGGGGACCTGACAGCCGAACAAAGATGCCGTTCCCGCCCTCCCCCTCCCATCTCTGTTTGCCACCTGGGCCCAGGCGCCTCGGTGGGGTGCTGCTCCCACCTTGGGGAGCCCACCTGGGTCCTCTGGCCTTGGGGGATTCCTGGCAAGTCCAACCTCAGGACAAAAGTCTTCCCCGGGGCTGACTGCCCAGCAGACAACAGCCGAGGCTGAGCAGAATTTCAATGTGGCCTGTTGGGAAGGGAAGCCAAGAAGAGGACGAGGGAGGAAAGGCTTTCTGTGGCTGCCGCTTCCTGCGGGGTGGGGGAGGGCAGGCTGGCTCGCTGAAGAGTCTTCGAAGGTGTTTTTAACACCCTCACCTGCCCCTGGAATCTTGGGGGGCAGTCACTCACCGAGTGTGGGAGATGTGAATGTCAGGGCTCGGAGAGGACAGAGCTCTGGAAGGGTGGGGCTAATGACTGGGCGAATTGAGAATGACTGAGCCCATCCCTGTCCCTCTGGGCACCTTCCTGCTCATCCCAGCAAAGCTAGGGTCGGGGTAGGGAGTCAGTACCCCAGGGCCCTTCTAGGGAAAGTGTCTGGTGACTGTAGGGACCGGGGACTTGGGAGTTCCTGGGCTCTGGGAAGGCAGAAGGTGCAGCCAAACACAGATGCTATTGTGTTGGACGATTTCTTTATTCCTTTATTCAGACAGACTTCCTCCTCACCTCACCTCTCTGAGACACAGAATGGCATTGGTGGGGGCTGGAAGAGGGTTAGATTTAGAAGAAATTAAAGCTGCAGTTCACACCTGTGCTGTGCTAAGGCCCCGTCTTCTCCATCATGTCATTCCTCAGAACAGCCTCAGTTGGAAGAATGACTAAACTCATTGTCGCATGAGGATGACCAGCCTTGGAGAGACTAGTTGGCCCAGGCCCCAGGAAAAGAATAACAACTAGTAATTAGTGTCTTTATTAATGCATTTATGTACCAGGCTTACTCTGCCTCGAACCGCTATATCCTCCCAACAAACCTATGGAATAGTTCTGTGGCCCCATTTTTACAGATGAGTAAACTGAGGCTCACAGAAGATTCACCAACTTGCCCGAGGTCATAGAGCTATTAATGGTGGTGCTAGCATTTGAACTTAGTGTGTCTGGTTCTAGAGTTCAAGTTTTTGTTTTGTTTTTAATATATATTTGTATTCATTTCAGAGAGGGAGGGAGGGAGGGAGAGAAAAAGAGAGGGAGAGAGAGAGAGAAACATTAACGATGAGAGAGAATTACTGATTGCTGCCTCCTGCATGCCCCACATTGGGGGTTGAGCCTTCAACCCGGGCATGTACCCTGACTGGGAATTGAACCATGACCTCCTGTTTCATAAGTTGATGCTCAACCCCTGAGCCATGCCAGGCAGGCTAGAGTTCAAGTGTTGGATCTCCAACCACTCACCCAGCACATCCTTTCCCTCTCCGTGGAGTAGGCCATGGACCACACATGGTTTTACAGATGGGGAAACTGAGCTCAGAGAAAGCCAGAAGCAGCCCCGAGCTTCACGGGGAGCTGTTTGGAGGAGGAACAGTGGGGTCCTGGTAGGAAGTAGGTGGGGTCCCACCCTCAGCCTCCCTGTTCTCGGAGCTCAGGGTCTGCCTGCCGCTGACTTCGGCCTCTTCTCTTCTGTCTCTTTGCAGCTTTCAGAAAATCAACGCCAAGACCCCTCCCAGCGTCCACATCGTCCTCTGGCAGGAGCGCCTGCCCCTCTGCCTCTCACCCCCCACCTGCACCCCCTGCAGCCCCATCTCCTCCAACCCCCCCCATCTCCTCCACGCAGAAGCCCAAGGTGAGCCCCTTCTGCACAAAACCAGCAATTGTAAATACTTTTTAAAAATGTACAAAACTTAAAAAAACAAAACACAGTTTTAGAAAAAGACAAAAAAAAGAGAGAGAGAGAGAGAGAGAGCGCGCGTGGAAGAGGTTGCAAGCAGGGCCTCGAGGTGTCCAGAGCCCTGCCAGTGTGCACTGAGAAATTTATCTGCAGGTCGTCTGACAAAAATGAACAATATCCTATTTATTGTATATACTGTTTTATTATAAATCGTGGATTGTATATTGCATTCTGTAAACCTGCTGTGGTCCCGTGGTGTGCAAATTCGCATGGTGGGGGGGAGGGAGAAGAACCTCTTGTGGGAGCTTTTTTTTTTCTTTCTTTCTTATTTTTCACTCTTTTGGGTTTTCTCTTCTGTTGTTGTTGTTGTTTTCTGTTGGCAGGACACACCCAAAGATCCAAGTTTGTATTAAAAAGAAATGAAAAAAAAGCAAAAAAAAAAACAAAAACACACACACACCTTGTGTCTTGTGAAGGGGGAGGGCGGGCGGGGAGGAGGGCTATGACTGGGCTTTGTCACCAGCACTGGGAATCCAGAGAAGGTGAAATACTGCCCTGTGGTCCCCCTCTCTGTTTTCCCTTTTGCCTGAGGTCAGAGTCCTCACATCCGGGCCCACTACCCCACAGACCTGGGCCTCCCTGCCTCTGGCCCCCAGTCTGCCCCTCGCACGTCTGGCCCCTGGTCCGTTCACTGTGTTCTGGGTACAGGGATTCTGCCTCTAAGCTCCTCGTTTTGCCCTAGGCCCGTGGTCTGCAAACTGCGGCTCGCGAGCCACATGCGGCTCTTTGGCCCTTGAGTGTGGCTCTTCCACAAAATGCCACAGCCTGGGCGAATCTCTTTGGAAGAAGTGGCGTTAGAAGTTTAAGTTTGAGAAAGTTGGCTCTCCAAAGAAATTTCAATCGTCGTCCTGTTGATATTTGGCTCTGTTGACTAATGAGTTTGCGACCACTGCCCTCGGTCTTGGGTCTCCCCTCACTCTAAGACCACCCCCCGCCCCTTTGTCCCAAGTCCCAGCTCTCCCTTTCTCTGGCCCTTTGTCCTGTCCCCGGTCTCCCCTGCCCCGGCCCGCCATCCTTTTCCAAGTGCAGGGCTGCCCGCCTCTAGGACCCCTGCTCCCCCGAGTCCTAGTTTCCTCTCTGAGTCAAGGCCCTGACCTCCCCTCCTTCCAGACCCTGCATTTACTCTAAGCCCGGGTCCTGTTTCCCCGGCCTCTGGTTCAGGGACACTTGTCTGAGACACTCCTTCCGTCCTAAGCCCAAGAACCCTTGTGAGATACCCCTTCCCCACAAGGACTGGAGCACCCCCCGTTTCTCTCCCGTTTGCCCCAGGCCCTCATTTTGCTCCAATACACCTCCATCTGTCCCTGTGAACTGCAGGGAGTGGCTAAGCCAGTAACCCCTTCCTCTGCTTTCTCTCTCCCCTCCCGAGCCCCCAGTGCTGAGTCTGGGTTTCCTGGCAGCTGTTGTAAACGCTGGCAATGCAGAGACAATCGTAATCCTGTGCTGGTTCCTGGTGGGCCCGGAGCAACTGAGCTGGTTCCCACTCCCTGACCTTGGGACACTCGGCAGCCACGCTGGGCTGCCTGGTCTTTAGCAGCAGCTTTTCCCATCGGCCCACTGTGTGTCAAAGCTCTGTCCAACATGGCCGCTCCGTGGCCCTCCCTGCTGAGGCTCAGGGAGACCCCAGGGACCAGCTCCCCGTGGCCTCCCTCCCTGACCCAGGCAGCAAGGGCCAGGCCTGGGGAGAGGCGAAGGAGGAGCCCAAGGTGAGTCCTTTCTCACAAACCAGCAACTGCAAATACTTTTCTAAAATGTACGAAATGTAAAAGCAACACAGACCCCCACCTTGCGGGCAGCCCTGTCTGAAAGAGGAGGCCGGAGGATTCGGAACGGCAGCACCTGTGCTGGGTGTGACGGCTCATCCGCCCACCGAGGCCCCTCCGCGATCCCGAGGCCGCACCCTCCTGCGTGGTGAGAGCAGAGGCATCGGCACTGAGCTCCAGCCGCCGCTCGGAGAGATGGGAGGTGGGGGCGGGGAGGGGGGAGGCCGGAGGGGGGAGCGGGGCTTTGTTCCTGGAGGAGGAAAGAGCATGTGCAAAGGCCTGGAGGTGTGAGAGGGTGGCAGGGGGCGGAAGTCACACGTAGTTAGGCCTGTTTGGAGTAGACACTGTGGGGAGGGGAGAGCTTTGGCAGACCACTCGGGCCGGGAGGAGGGGGGGGGGGGCATGGCAGGAGCCAGTCAGGGAGGCCGGAGGAGCTGTGTTCGGCCCCAGGAATCGCCTGCAGGGAAAACATGTTCTGCGGTTGCTGAGGAAGCAGAAGAGACTCGGAGAGGCTGTCCAGGTGGGCAGGCTGGGCAGAGGCAGTGCCCAGTGGGGCTCCACTTGGGATTGGTCTAGAGATGGGAAGGGTCGCTACCACAGAATTAAGAGTGGGGATGGGGGGGGGGGGGGCTCAAGAAGGAAATGGGAGTTCAGGGAGGTGATTATAGCCCAGCAAGGGGGCTCATTAATGTGAGAGCTTACCTTGAGGGGATAAACTACAAAGAGAGGGGTGTCCTGGCCAGTGTCCTCAATGGTTAGAGCACCCGCCCCGCACACTGAAGGGCCAGAGTTGTGGGTTCGATTCTGGTCAAGGGAATGTGCCTGGGTTGCAGGTTTGATCCCCAGCTCCAGTCAGGGTGTGTTGGGGAGGCAACCAATTGATGTGTCTCACATGGAAGTTTCTCTCTCCCCCTCCCTCCTTTCCACTCTAAAAACATCAATGGAAAAAATAGCCTCTGGTGAGGATTCTTTAAAAAAGGAGGGGCATCAGGAGAGAGATGGGAACTCAGAAGAACTTATAGTTTTGGGGATGGAAGGCAGGCTTGGTAAGGAAAACAGGTTCCCTGAAAGGAGGGGTCAGCGAGATAATGGGGGAGGGCAGGGTTCTATAGCTCAGTAAGGGATAAGAGAGCTGACATGTATTTTGGAGAACAAACTCCAAAGGCCAAGGGCCCACCTTTGGGTTCTCTGTGCCCTTGGGCCCTGGGGCCTTGGGGAAAGGACAACAGAGACCCTGCCCAGGTGGGTGGGGAGGATGGGTGCTACCCTATTTATTTTACTTTTTATCCTCACACAGGATATTTCTTATTGATTCGAGAGAGACATCTCTATTGCCTCCCATATTCACTGCACCTGGGGATCGAACCCACAACCTGTTATGCACGCTGACTGGAAATCGAGCCAACAACCTTTTGGTGTGTACAGGACTATGCTCTAACCAACTTTGACAACCAGGCATGGCACGGCGCTCTGATCTGTTCTCACCACAGTCGCCACAGTCCCATACCTGATCCCAGAGTGTATAAGGCCACATAGCCCCTAGATGTTTGGATTCTACCACTTTTTTTTTTTTAAATAATATTTTTTTGATTTTTTACAGAGAGGAAGAGAGAGGGACAGAGAGTTAGAAACATCGATGAGAGATGAACATCAATGGGCTGCCTCTTGCACACCCCTACTGTGTACGTGGTACATGCCCTTGACCAGAATCGAACCTGCAACCTTTCAGTCTGCAGACCGACGCTCTACCACTGAGCCAAACCTGTTTCAGTTCTACTACCTTTTATTAAATACTTCCTGGAGGTGTTTATTCCTCAAAACAGTCGCTGACGTAGAGAAAGATACTCACCTCGCTTACAAATGAAAAGACAGCTTCAGAGTCTCGGAGTAAGTGGCTTGTCCAAGATTACATGGGAAGTGACAGAAGTAGGTTGGCCTGGAATCTGACTCTGAGCCCTGGCCTTTTCATAACAGTTTAGGGGGGGGGGGGGGGGGGCCTGTTCATAAAATTCATCCAAAAACTGATTTGTTCTATAATAAAAATTTAAATTTTACAAATAGAAATCAGAAATAATTATACAATTATAACACTATGTCCCAGATACTGTTCTAAACATTTAATATATATGTGTGTGTGTGTGTGTGTGTGTATGAACTCATTCCGTTTTCACAATTCTATGAGGCTTTTTTATTGTAACGATAATTATCACCATTTTACAGATAGAGATGTAATTTACAAGGACCACTCAGTAAACAGTGACACCAGGGTTCAAACGCTAGATTGTGGAAGTCTGCTTCACTGTTAAAATCTACTTCACTGCCATTCCTGGCAATGACCCCACTGTCAACATTTCTGAGTTCATTCATCTAGATCGGTGGTTCCCAGTCTAGGGATTCTGAGATTATTGAACTGGGTGGGGCCTGGGCATTGGAATTTTTTAAAGCTCCCCTAAGTGGGCCCTAACTACTTGGCTCAGTGGATAGAGCACCAAACTGGACCAAAGGGTCCCCGGGTTCGATTCAATCAGGGCACATGCCCGGGGTTGCAGGCTCCTCCCTGGCCCAGTCCCTGGTCAGAGCACGTGCAAGAGGCAACTAATGGATATTTCTCTCTTTCTCTCTCCTACTCTCTCTAAAAGTCAATGGGGAAAATATCCTCAAGTGAGGATTTAAAAAATATAAATAAATAAAAGCTCCCAGGTGGTTCTGTGCAGCCACCGTTGAAAACCTCTAACCTAGGTATTATACTGTTTGCACACAAGCAGGCACCTGTGTGCACACACCTATATGGAAGGTGGCCTAGGTGTGTATCAGATGCCTTCTTGTGTGTACACTATGGGATGCATTCATGTTTTTCACTGAGTGGCTGTAAACTACTATGGATTCTCTGAATGACTGTTAGACACTATACACACATTTATATAACAGATAATGTATTTAACAAATAGTTCTTAAGCACCTACAAGATTCCAGGTATGTCCCAGGCCACGACAGTGAACAAAAGAGACGGGGCTGTGCCTTTGCGGATAGCCTGATGGAACTGGCCGGTTTGGTCCTCTGCTTTCCCTGTGGGTGGCAGAGGTTTGCAGCTCCTCGGAGCCTGCTGAGGGGTGAAGGGCAGAGCTTAGGAAGGTAGGTCTTGTGGCTCAGCTGTGTACGTGGTGGATCTTCTGGCCGTACGTGCAGATGTGTTAGAGACAGGGAGACCCTGGGCGTGTTTCGGGGTTTGAATGAGTATGGTTGACTGTGTGGCATGTGTGCATGATCTGGGCTTGAGAAAATATGACCAATTGTGGTGGGGGTGGGGAGAGGGAGTAAGGGAGGGCTGTGAGCAAGGTGGTCACTAGCCCAGTACAGCACACAGATGGTGGCACATGCACACGCACACACACACACACACACACACACACGCACACGCCAGCTGCTGCTGGGAGGAGGTGGGGTTCCAGCCCCAGGGCCAGGGTAAGTGGAGGAGGAGGCATGGCGAGGGCTGGAAACTCTGGAGTGGGAGGAAGGGAGGGAAAGAGACAGAGGAGGCCAGGGCCCCACATCTTGATCTCTGGCCTGTTTTCGGCGGTTCTGACGTGGTGCTCTGGGTCTCTGTGTGAGCCGGGGCCGCC